AAGACTCAATTAAGGCCTAATTTCCACTGACTCACCTGTGCACCCACAGACTCAGTCAAGAACCGACACCTTCAAACTCACCTAAGACTCAATCAAGCCCTGACTCACCTACGCACTCACCGAAGACTCAATTAAGACCTAATTTCCACTGACTCACCTCAGTACCAACACAGACTCACTCAAGCCCTGACTCCCTGCACCTCCCGGTCGAGCAGGTGATGCTGTGCGCGGGCGTGGCGAGCGGGAGCCGTGGCGCTGCCGGCGAAGGTGTAGGCGCACTTGGGGTTCGCCGCCCCCCTCGGCCTCGGGGTCGGGCGGAGGGGGGGCGGGGGGCGGCGGGCGGGGGGCCTCCGGGTGCGGAAGACGATGAGCGCGACGAGGACGAGGACGATGAGGACGAGGCCGGCGCCCACGCCCAGGGCGGCCGGCAGGAGCGACGGGAGGGCGAGGGCGTCCAGCAGGGAGTCCCCGGGGGCGCCGCTCCTCCGCCCGCCCCCGAGCGCCCCCCGCCCCGTCGTCGCCGCCCCCCGCGCCGCCGCCGCCGCCGCGCCGTGCTGCCGTTCTTGCCGCCGTCGCGAACCTCGGCCTCGGAGGGCCCGTCTGGGGGGGGGAGAGGGAGAGAGAGAGAGAGAGAGAGAGAGAGAGAGAGAGAGAGAGAGAGAGAGAGAGAGAGAGAGAGAGAGAGAGAGAGAGAGAGAGAGAGAGAGAGAGGGAGGGAGGGAGGGAGGGAGGGAGGGAGGAGAGAGAGAGAGAGAGGAGAGAGAGAGGAGAAGAGGAGGAGAGAGAGAGAGAGAGAGAGAGGGAGAGAGGGAGAGAGGAAGAGGAGAGAGGAGAGAGAGGAGAGGGAGAGAGGAGGAGAGAGGAGAGAAAGAGAGAGAGAGAGAGAGAAGAGAGAGAGAGAGAGAGAGAGAAGAGAGAAGAGAGAGAGAGAGAGAGAGAGAGAGAGAGAGAGACCGAGAAAGAGAGAGAGACCGAGACAGACAGACAGAGAGAGAGAGAGAGGCAGAGACCGAGACAGACAGACAGAGACAGAGAGAGACCAAGACACACATACAGAGAAAGAGAGAGACAAAGACAGAGAAAGAGACAAAGAAAAGAGAGAGAGAGAGAACACAGTTCATTAGTGTTTGACCGGTAATACAATTATCTCTCAGACTTAATGATATCTAGTCTTCTAGGCCTAAATCAAGAGTGTGTAATCTGTAGATGATTTTCCATAAATAGATTAGGAAACGGGGGGGTGGTGAGGGGGGGGTAGGGATGATATAATCAGTAAATATATTTCTTGGGTCATTTCTTATAGTTATTTATGTGTTCTTCTTTCTCCACAAAACCAGAGAATGTTCTAAAAAATAAGTGCTTTTAGAATAATTTGTTCTACTGTTTTTTTTTATTATTTACTTTATCATTTTGCCATTTTAACATTTAATATTATTATTATTATTATTATCATCATCATCATTAATATCATAATTATTATTACTATCAGCATCATCCCTACTGTTAGTACTATCATTTTTATCATTATTATCAATAATGATAATAATAATTATTAGTAATAATAATGATAATAATATAATAATCATAACATTCTCATCATCGTTCATACTTTTATTATCATCATAACTTAATATTATCACCATTATAATGATAATAATAATAATAGTAATGATAATGATGATAATAATAATAATAACAATAATAACAATAATAATAATGATAATGATAACAATAATAACACTACAAATAATGATAATAATAATCATAATAAAATGATAATTTAAATGATTATTACTATTATTTTCATCTTTATTATCATAATCATTATCATATTTAGCATCATCACCATCATTGCCCTTGTTTTCGTCTTCGTTATTGTTATTATCATAATCATTATCATTATCTTTTTATCATCATTACCATGAACACTATCATTACCATCTTAATCATTCTTATTCTCATTGTTAACAGAACTATATCTTATTATTTCAACTAAAACAAACACACACAACTCACTCACTCTCACTCACACACTCACTCACACACTCATTCACTCACTCACACTCATTCACTCACTCATTCACTCACTCATTCACTCACGCACTCACACACTCATTCACTCATTCACTCACTCACTCA